CCAACCCGCGAAAGAAAGTTTCTATTACATTTTTATGTTGTTAAATAATTCCCAATGACAATGGTTCCAGTATCCCTCTGAAGCATCCCCGGTGCAATACCACAGTGCCTGATAGCTCTGCTTTGCAGCAACCTTGAGTCTAAAGTGTCTCTCATATCTTCCCCCCAAGGTCCTGGAGCCCAGAGAAATGGATGGAATCTCTCCCACCTGACCTAAGGGCATATGAAGATAAGCCAGTCTCTCCTCCTCATCTTCTCTCCAAAATAAACCTGCCCAGTTGCTTCAAATAATGCTCTTTAAAAAAAAAAAATGCCCTAACCAGGCTGATGACCCATCGCCAACTAATCAACACGCATTTATTAAGCACCTGCTGTGTGCTACACCCTAGACACTAGAGGTACGATGACAGAATTGGATCAGCCCCTGCCCTCAAGAAGCTTACATTCTATCGGGAGAAGACACATCTATAGATAAGCATATGCAAAATATGTGCAATGTTAATGTCCTTTCTCCAATGTGGTGACCAGAATGAAACACAGTCCTCTGTGCAATGCCCTCTGATCAAGGCAGAGTCTAGTGGGGGTAAAAATAGCCAAGTGTCTCATTCTGGGCACTCTATTTTTACTTTGCCATTTAAGATCACATTACTTTGCATGTACTTAGCATGTGTTGACATGTACCCATGTTGTTTCCTCTGATAGAATGGAAGCTCCTTGAGCGCAGGGACTGTTTTGCTTTTTTGGTTGTTGCATCCCCAGCACCCAGCCCAGTACCTGGCACACAGTAGGTGCTTAATAAATGCCTGTTGCTGGATTGCTGGATTCGTTTGGTTACCACATCACCCAGCTGGGTCATATTAGCTCCAAGTCCTCTAAAAGCACCAGGGTTTTGGAGTCCCACCACAGATGGGTTTTCCAGGGGAGGATTCTTGGCAGGGTGCAAATACCGGCCCAGTGCCTTGCCGCTCAACACCATCTGCCCATTGTCTCCTTTATTCCATTTAGATTTCATTTTCTCCACATAAGCCCATTGTTCCCGTCTCTTCAGCTATTAGGGGAGACCAATCCTGTTGCTGAAATGGATTCAGCCTCTGTCTGAGTTTCATATAAACTGTAAGAGGTCAAGGATGAAAGAATGGAGAAGGTGGTGGGGGGAAGGTGTGATGCAGCGAATACTACAGACAGACTGGACTGAAAGAGCAGATTTGGGCTGGATGCAAGTGAAGATGCCCTAACAGCTGCTCCAGGAGGTAGTGAGCTCCCCGTCCTAGGAGTGCTGAAAGCAGATGTTGGATGGCTACTAGTCAGGCATGGTATAGAAGGGCCTCTTGTTCAGAGATGGGTTGGATTGGCTGCTTCTGGAGCTCCTTCCTGCATGAGATTCTGTCATCTGTAAACTGAAAGTGGAGTCTGCTCAGTGACCCCAGAAAGTATCTAATCAAATGACATCTGACTGAGGATCCACCCTCCACCCCTCAACCTACGTGGTCACTCAGCCTGGGCTTGAAAAATTCCACTGAGGAAGAACCTGCAGGCAGCTGTTACACTTTGGAGCTGCCTCCCTACAGCTCGCCACCCCCATTGCTTCTAGAAAAGTGAGTACTAAATGAAAGATAGTGACTATTAAACTACAGGCTGCTATTTTATTTGAAAATACAGTCCCGTGTTGACAGAGCATAGTCAGCACGAGGAGAATGGGGCTCTGACATCTGGTAGTGATCGATTAGGCAGCTGGTGGTACATTGAAGGACTTGGAGTCAGGAAAACCTCAGTTCAAATCCTGCTTTGGACATTCACTAGCCGTGTGACCCTGGGCAAGTCACCTCACTTGGTTGTCTCAGCCTCAGTTTCCTCATCTGTAAAATGGGGACCGTAATAGCTCCTGTCCTTCAAGGTTGTTGTGAGGATGTGGTGAATTCTCTTATTTAAACCCTAATATGCTCCCGATCTTCCCAAGCTTGCTCCTGGCTTGAGGAAGCCCCAGAGCACGTGGATCTTCAGACGCTAGATTGCAAGGTCTTCAGCAGAGTGCAAAGACAGCCTGGCCAACACTCTTTGCCTACTCGGCTGCCCCTGGTCCCCTGGCTCTGGAAGCCTCCCTTCTACAGCCTCTAAGGGAAAGACGTAGTCTAGGAAAGGCCATCCTCAGCTAAGCAGGCGGGATGCTCCTTTGAGACTCAGCCCTCAGCCATGGAGGTCCTGTAATTGTGTCCACTATTCAGAGACAGGCATTGGGGAACAGTCTATCCTTGTAGCTCGTCCTGTTTCCTAGCCTTCTAGGATCAAGGTCATGACCAGGTGATAACTAGTTTAATCAGATCATTTAACCTACGCTAAATGTTAGCCTTTCCCGGGAAACATCTGCAGCATAGAACAGTGGAAAGCGCTGGACTTGAAGCCAGATTTAGGTTCAAATTCTGGCCTGGACACTGACAAAAGACCCTAGACAAGTCACCTCACCTAACATTCTGAGCCTCTTTCATCTGTAAAATGGGAATAGCACTCACATGGGCTGCATCCCAGGACTGTCTGTAATCCTAAGAGGAGGCAGCGTGGCCCAATGGAAAGTGGGTTTTGGTGGGTCACTAGACCTGTGTTCCAATCCTGACTCTCTTCTATGGAAGCTTGGGCAAAGCACCTCCTCTCTGAGCCTCAGTTTCCTCATCTGTGAAATGAAGTTGGGTAACATGACCTCTAAGGTCTTTTCCAGGTCTGACTCCAGGGTCCCAGGAAATATTCACACTCATTTTCATTTTAATGAGAGAGATACAGGACCAGGAATTTCCCGTGCCCTCCCTGGCTGCCTCCTTGGCCTCGGGCTCAGCAGCTGGTCCTGGGTCCTGAGCTCCCCTCAGAGCTAAGTGGCCCAGAGCCAGGGCTCTGCAAGGCCATGAGCAGGGCCAGTGTGGGGTTCAGGCCCACCCCAGGTTCTACTGTGCCTCCCCCTACTCCCGGGATTGCAAGTGAAGCAGGGCTGGCCCTGCCTTTAGGCAGAGTAGGAGGTCGCCTGCATAAACGACATTTATCTCAATATGGATACAGGGCATTCCTGCTTACAACCGAACTAAGACTTTTGGAACCCTCTGCGTCCATGTTATCTAGTCATTTAGTCATGTCTGACTCTCTGTGACCCCATTTGGGGTTTTCTTGGCAAAGATACTGGAATGGTTTGACCTTTCCTTCAGTAGCTCATTTTGCAGATGAGGAAACTGAGGCAAACAGGGTGAAGTGACTTGTCCAGAGTCACATAGCTAGGAATTGCCTGAGGCCAGAGTTGAACTCAGATCTTCCTGACTTTAGGCCTGGTGCTCTACGCACTGCACCACCTACAGCATCTGTATCTGAACAATCTAAGAGGCACCGACATTTTCAGACTCTTAGAAGGTGATAAATGGCCCCTGCATTTGCTGAAGCCTCACTTGGGTTTCCAGCGAAGGGGCTCCTTTATTTCTTTGGGGTGCCTTTTGAATTTCCTTCTTGCTGCGGTTGTCTCCCCCACCTCTCCAGCCAAGAAGAACCCCTTTGCACAAGCTGCCAACCGCTCCCAAATGCACGAGGTTTGAGCTGCTATAGTCGATCAAGGAGAAGAGAAGCCCGGAGCATCTAGGGTTACATTCTACCTGCTCCCCTCACCATCCTTGGGCCAAACAGAGCAACCTCTCCTGGATACTGACCCTGAGCCATCCTCCTGCCAACCAGGCCCTTCACCTTGGCCCAGATGAAGCTCGTAGCCCTAGAAGGCTCTGCCTCCATAAGGAGCAGCCCAACCTGAACTAGAAAGTCTTCAGGCCAGAGCCCAGCGGTGAGGCAGCCTGAGCAAGTCTGAGCATCCATGGCTCGGGTCTAATGTGGGAGAGGCTCGATGCCAGGCAGAGTACAAGTGGATGCCTGGCACATAGTAGGTGCTTAATAAATGTTTATTGATTGGTTGGTTGTATGCTTGCAGAGAAGTTCTAGAGGGCTTCCAAGCATCCACTGGTGCCCAAGGAAAGCACTGTAGTCACTGGGTACTCTCACTCCGTATCACTCCTTTAGATGGGTGGCTTTTTAGCACTCTTTTGGAAGTGATTTTTCAGGCCCCAATTTTTCCCCAACAAACACATTTCCAATTTGTACTGAAATCAACAGGAAAGAAGGCTTTGACCAATATACACCCATCTAAATGGTAGGTATTAGTTAAGATAACAGACAGCTTCCTTCACCAACAGGAGGTATGCCTGCCTGTCTTCGTAACTCTAAAAGAACAGACTTCACCCAAAGAGAATGGCTTGCACTTTGAGTCAGTCAACAAGCATTTATTAAGCACCCACTGTGTGCTGAGCATTCAGGCCCTGCCCCCAAGGAGCTCCCAGCCTAATAAGGATGATGCCATACAAACAACTATGTACAGAGAAGCTATCGATGCTGGATAAATCAGGAGCAGTCTCAGAGGGAAGGCACTAGAGGAAGGAGGAGCAGGAAAGACTTCTTTGAGAAGGTGGGATCTTAGCTGAGATCTGAAGGAAGCCAGGAGGCAGACACGAGGACGGGGAGCCTTCAAAATGCCTGGAAGTCAGGAGATGAAGCATTTTGTTCAAGGAACAGAAAGGTGCCCCCCCCCGTCACTGAATTGCTTGGGGAGGGTGAAAGTCTAAGCCATAAGATGACTGGGAAGGTAGAAGGGGCCATGTCATGAAGGACTTCAAAAGTCACTTGTTTAACCTCTGTGGGCCTCAGTTTCCTCATTTATAAAATAAGATTAGCCTAAACGTCTGGGGTCTTTTCTAATTCTAAACCCGTGATCCTTCAATCCTCAGTTAAGTGACTTGCCCAAGGTCACTCTATGCCACCTCAACTTCCAAAACCTTGGTGCATGAGGAATGTCAGATGGACCCTCAGAATTCCCTGGTACATTTTGCACCCCCTCCCACTCGGTATATCTGGGTCACTGCACCAGAAAGCACAGTCATACATGTCCCTGTATGGGCCAGATTACTCAAGGAATCAAATCCAAAACATACGTTGCCAAGGGGTTCCAAAAATTTATTTTGAATATTTAATTAACAGCAACAACAACAAAAAAAAAATCCTACCTATGAAGTGTCCTAGATGAAGGGAGATAAAATATGTGGATTATCAAACCCAGCCCAATCTAGGGAAGCTTGACCAATACAGAAAACAAAAGTGTGGACGGGAGGGGGAGGGGGGAAACTGGACACGCTCGTGCCTGCCGGAAGCAGGATTGTCCCAAAGAACCAAGGAGCTTACGGGAAGACTTCATGGAGATTCTGTACACCTCGCTGCTCCCAGCCAATTTCATTGGTCCACAGTGCTGAGATTGCAAAGTGGGTTTTCTTCCTCAGCCATCCCGGGTGCCCTGGGCCGGCACAGCTGATCGCGAGACCAGATCCGCATGCGTGTGGGCAGCCACTGCGTCTTTGGTGGGGACACAGTCAGCCCACGGCCTGATGCGTTAGCAAAAATGCGATGGGCAGTTTCTGCAGAACATACCAGGGAGGTGACTACTTCTGTGGGGCTGAAAAGTGGCTGAGGTGACTGAGCCTTGCGCGCACGCACACACGCACGCGCACACACACACACACACACAGCCTCGACAGGCTGCGGTGGTTACTGCCCAGAAGTCTTGTCCAGCAGCTACTTGTCCACGGAAGTTTTCGTGTTTATGAGAGATGGCAGCCCTGCTGGGGCACGTCGTCATCACCATCATCACAGGGCGATATCTCAGCAGCCGTGAGGAACAGGACTTGTCAAGATCTGGAGGCAGATGAGCAGCTGGGGGAAGGGAAAGGGTCACCTAGAGGAACCACCTAATCTAAAGGAACCAAGAGAAGCTTGTCAGGTTCCTGGAGCTGGGACTTCTGGGAAGAAGGGAGAGAGAACGAAGAGTCCCAAATCTAAACCAAACCCCAACTCAAGTCTCCATACTTGGATGCTGGCAGGCTTTTGATGGAAGGAGGAGACACTGAAAATAAGTCTATAAAAGCAGGTAAGGAACCCCGCTCGTGACAAGAGGCTTGAAAGGCTGGTCCACTCTGACCCCCTCTAGCGCCACTCTTCCCTAACTCCTTCCTCCTCTAAGGACCTGGACATGCCCAGGAGGCCTGCAGGGTCATCACTGGCGCTGCCAACATGCAGAGAAAGGATTCCCTCAGCACCACTGTCTCAGGCAGGGCAGGGGACCCTGCCTGCTCCCACATGAGGACAAAGGGTCCTTGGCATGGCTTCTTGTAACAAACATTCCATTTGGCAAAAGAAGAAAAGGCCTTAAATGCTTAAACACCATCACCCAAGTCCTCCAAGGAAACATGATTACAATATATTAGCAGATTCTGAGGATTAAACATTCTTAAGAGCATCAGCAAAAGTATTAAATATAAAAGCAGTATGTATCTTCCCCTCGCCATCCTCCCTCCCCGAAGCAGGACTTTGTAGTGTAGACATCGGGTTTGCAGACTATGGCATTAAGGCATTGATGAGAAACCATCTTCGCTACTGTCTCAGCTCGACGTAGTTGGCTGGGAAGAGCCCGTATCGGCCTTTACACACGCCTCTCCACCAGCCATCGTCAATCATTTCAATGTTGGTGATGATATCATCAGGATCAAAGGAAATTTCATCGTCACCGGCTAAAAAGGAGAAATTGGCAAAGAGAACTGAATGAAAGGCACGTTGTCTCCAGTGGCCCTTCCCAAAAGCCACCACCGGGGGTTGAATTTAATCTTCTCAAGGGCAGGGACCATTTCAACTCAGTCTGGATCCCCACTGTGTCAGGCACAGTGCCTGACACAAAACAGGTGCTTAAGAATTCTTGTTGAACTCTGAGGTACCACTTCATACCTATCTGATTGGCTAATATAACAAAAATAGAGAACAATAAACACTGGAGAAGATGTGGGAAAATTGGAACACCAATGCATTGTTGGTGGAGTTGTGAATTCTATAATGCAACCATTCTAGAGAGCAATTTGGAACTATGTCCAAAGGGCTATAAAACTGTGCATACCCATTGATCCAGCAATAGCACTTCTAGGGCTGTATCCCAAAGAGATCATAAAAAAGGGAAAAGGATCCACATGTACAAAAATATTTATAGCAGCTCTTTTTGTGGTGGAAACTGAGGGGATGCCCCATCCATTGGGGAATGGCTGAACAAGTTGTGGTATATGAATGTAATGGACACTACTGTTCCATAAGAAACGACGAACAGGTGGATTTCAGAAAAACCTGGGAACACTTGTATGGACTGATGCTGAGTGAAGTGCGCAGAATCACAACACTGTACACGTAACAGCAACACTGTGTAATGACCCACTTTGATAGACTTAGCTCTTTTCAGTAAAACAATAATCCAAGACAATTCCAAGACTCATGATGGAAAATGTTATCCACATCCAGAGAAAAACTGTGGAGTCTGAACACAGAACGAAGCATACTGTTTTCTCTTTTCTTTTTCTTTCTCGTGGTTTTTCCCTTTTGTTCTCATTCTTCTTTCACAACCTGACTAATGTGGAAATATGTCTAATAGGACTGTACATGTATAACCTATATCAGATTGCATGCCATCTTGGGGAGGGGGAAAAATTTGGAACTCAAAATCTTATAAAGGTGAATGCTGAAAACTATTTATGTAATTGGAAAGAATTAAATACCATCAAGTGAGGGAAAATAAAATTGAGAAGGGAGAACAAATAAACATATAATTAAAAGAAAAAAAGAAGTCTTGCTGATTGAGGAGAGGGTGAGCACTTCAGTTCCAAACCACTGGCCTAACCAAGTACTGCCAATCTTGCCCTGGGGCCAGACCCATAATTCCATCAGAATGGGAAGGCGCCAAATGAACAAAAACAATCATAAGGGACTAAAACCAGGATACACTGTTTACATCCTAAGATGAGAGGATGGTGTATTTGTCCCCTCTCAACCCTCTCATCATCAAGGGTCAGAGAGGGAGTCCAGTTGGACAGAGTACCTGGGAGAGGACCTGTTAAGTTTTGATGATCTTTTCAACAGAATGGAAAGAAAGGAGAAAGGAATACACTGGGGAAGGTGGGGGGAGTTTGGGTGTGGAAACAGACATCTATACAAAGAAGTGGGGGGGGTTTAGGGGAGGGAAGCAGCTGACACTGGAAACCTGTCCTCATCTGAGCTAGACAAAGGTGGGTGCAGAAACACATTTTGCTCAACATAGAAATAAAAGGAAAAGGGAGGAATTAGAGGGAGGGTAGGTAAAGGGAGGACTTCATTAGAAGGAAAACAAACTCTAAAAACGTGCAAAAATATTTATAGCTCTTTTTGAGGTGGCAAAGAATTGAAGTCTAAGGGATTGTCCATCCATTAGGAGTGGCTGAATAAGTTATGGTATATGAAGAAGATAGAAGCTCATCTCCTGATAGAGAGGTGATGGGTACAATGAGACGTGTGTGTGTGTGTGTGTGTGTGTGTGTGTGTGGTGTGAGTGTGTGTGTATGTGTGTGGTGTGTGTTTGTGGTGTGTGAGTGTGTGTGTGTGTGTGTGTGTGTGTGGTGAAAGCAGCCAAAAAAAATTCAATTTTGTAAACTGTGAACGTGAGTATGCATATATATGCATGTGTATACCTATGTATACATGTAGTACATAATGTGTACATGTATGCAGGTAACCATGCATGTGTTTTTATACATGTGCATATGTGGTTTTTTTCCTCTTAGATGTGGTCAATGAAAAAATTTATTTTGCTTGACTATACATGTTTGTAACAGAGGTTTTGTTTTTTCTTTCATGCTCAGTTGGGGAAGGAGGGAGAAAGGGTGAATTTTGCTGATTGGAAAAAATAAAATTAAAAAAAAAAAAATTGTCCAGCCATGAAGCTAACCAAGGAGAAAACCAACAACGACACAAAGCCCCGGCCCCGCCCCACCCCCGGGTGCCAGCCCCACCCAACCTCCATACATTGTATGGTTTGCTTACCAGCCTGATAATCGTAGAGGGCTATGGCTGTGATCCCAAGGTCGTTTTCATATTCATCGTAAGTATTTTCCTCTAAAAGTCAACCAAAAAGGAATTGGATTATTAATAGTTCATAAATTCACAGAAAAAAAAGGTAATTTAAATTCAGTTTAATTTAAAAAAAAAAATCTAAGCTCTATGTTATATGAAAGAATGCAAATATAAACCACAAATCCACCCTGCACTCAGCTGCCAAAGGGATTTGCCTTAAGCATCTAGCTGACCACATTACCGCCCTTCTCCATAAATTCCTGCGGCTTCTGAATACCTCTAGGTTCAAACATACACTCCTCTGCGTGGTGCTAGAAACCCTGCATAACTTGGCCCCAACTTACTGTTCCAACCTTATTGCAGTATGCTACCATTCCCTCATTCTACGGTCCAGCCTAGTCGGCCTTCTTCTAGGTCCGCTCTCCGACCTCTAGGCCTTTGCTGGTCCCTGTGCCTGGAATGCTCTCTCCTCAACTCTTTCTTGTCTCTTAGAATCCCTGACTTCTTTCTGAGCCACCTCAAACAGCACCATCTACATGATTCCATCCCTGGTCCCCTTTGGGGGGGGAGGGGTTCCTTATCTTCATTTTTTACATTCTCTCCATATAGATCATGAGGCCACAGATATGCCAGCAAAGCACCTCTCATGCCTAGATCTGTTTTTCCACTTCCCTTTTAAAGACACCAGTCTCTGGCCTCAACCCCTCCAGTCCCATTATGCACCCCTATGCACCAAGCTGGAACAGTGGCTCTATCCAGAGAAGCTTCATCAAGGAGCCTGGCTCCAGTTCAGGCCAGGGTGGGCCCAGAAAGCCCCGGGCTAGCACTGGCCTCAAACATAAGTCTGAGAGCGAGAAAGCACCGCCCAGGTCCCTGGCACCCTCTCAGGGGAACAACCACACATCACAAATGGTTCATGATGAATTCAGGCAATCCCCAGGGAAACCCTGAGTATCCCGAAAGCCTTGGGCGACCTCCAGAGGCAGCATGGGAGTGTGCAAAGGGGACCTGGCGAACTGTCCTGGGTGGTGCAGACAACCTGCTGCCCCTGTCACTCCACAGTGATCACGGGGACAGCTCAGGGAGGGAAGGGGCATTGGCGGCACAGCCCCTTTCAGCACCTTCTTGATTGGGAGCCATCGACTCCGCCGTCTCATACACAACTTCAGGCTCCTGCGCCAGGCCCCGCTGGCTCACTGTCTCCTGATAGTCGGACGGCACAGCTGTGTACTCGGACTCCGGCTCCGGTCCAGAATACGTCGTACTGCGGCCTTTGTAGCCCGGCTCAGCCTCGTAAGATGCAGCATCCTGGGGAAAGTCAGACGAAAGCTCACTTGGCATCATTCTCGCTATTATCAGAGGTAGCATTTAGACGGCACCCTAAAGTCTGCAAAGCACGTGAGAAACATTAGGTTATCTCGTTTTCTCCTCCTAACAATCTTGGTAGGTAAGTGCTCTTTTCATCCCCCAAATAAGGAAACTGAGGCAGACAGAGCTTTGCTATGGGATGCTGGCCCTAGAGCACCCAGGCTCTCCACAAGGCGAGCAGCTTGCTTGCCACACGTGGTCCCCCCAGGCCGGCCTCCCAGAGCAGGCCCACCCTCGGGCCTCTGCCTGGTGCCCAGATTTCTCCCCAACGAGACTCCTCGATGGAAAGGACCCTTTTGTACTTCCATTCCACTGCACACATCTACACAAATACAGGATAACTACCCGTACAGAGGGGTGCTTGAGACTCAGCCTCGACCGTGCATGAGGTGGGGGAGGGGGTATCACCTGTGTTTGGTGCAGGGCTGGGTGGGGGGAGGGGACAGAAGACGTACAAAACGTCAATCACAGGGGAGCCGGTGATCAATCTCAGGGGAGCCAGCTCTCCAGCTCAGGGCCACACACTGACCTCATAGACAGGGCTGGTGGGTGGCCTTTCCTCGGCCGGCGGCTGGGGACTGGGAGGAGGAGATGGAGTTTGCTTCTTGATTCGGGCTTGTTCCTGTAATTCAAAACCCAGAGTTTGTCAGAACGACGAAGCCTGGGCTTGCAATCATAGCTTTAAGGCAGATCCTTCCAAGGCAGCAGTTTGAGGACGACCCCAAATGAGGACAGAAAACACCATCGTGGGATGTAAGCTGGTACAAGAATGACCAGACACGTGTATGTCTTTGGAAGAACTGATGCGAATCCTCCTGTTCCCAAGGTAATATTGTGACCCAAATCCCGACGCTCCTACCCCCATCCTGCTGCTGCTGAAGCCCATGACCTGTGCCAAAGGGTGGCACCCAAAGAAAAGGGAAGCAGCCCACACTGGGGCGTAAAGCGCCCTCACGGAAGGACAGGATGAGCTGTTCGGGGTTGACGGCCGCAGGCCGAAGGTGTGTTTAAGGGAAGGATGGCCACAGTGCTCAGCTGAGGATGCAGAGACTAGGCACAGGAAAGCGGACCCTCAGGAGACAGAGGAGGCCCACCATGGCAGCAGGCAACCCTCCAAAGAGGGACAGAGAAAGGTGGCCAGGGACGTTCTCAAAGCTGCGGACCTCCTTTCTACCACGGCACCTGGTGGAGGGAGGCCATGTTGTCCCTATGAGACTCAGAGCATGTGACCCAAAGTGCCCCCTTCCCATCAGCTCTTGGTGCTGCAGGTGGTCTGCACAGACAGACAGGGGACCCCCAGGGCCTGGTTGGTTTCCCACCTCTGACATCCTCAACTAGCAGGGTGGGGAACACGGGAAACAGACAGGCCGAGGTGGAAAATTCTGGGCAGACTCCAGAAAAGCAAACATACACCAGGCAGGAGGAAGGTTCGGGTCTATAACAAGATACCCAAGGCCTGGAAAACCAGCTCTGTCCAGCCCACAACACAAGGGTAACAGGCAAACTAAAATACTCAGCTCTCCTCTCTCTGGGCCTCAGTTTCCACATCTACATAATGGGTGGCTGTGCATTTTAGACTCAATGGTCTCCATAGCCCCTCTCACCTCTACAAGCAAAATGACCTTCATAAAGCACCTTCAGGTTTGGAAAGAATTTGACAGAGATAGAAGAGGGGAGAGAGACCAGGTGTCTCCTTTATCCTTACAACAGCCCGTGCAGTCCCTGGTCTGAAGCTGCGGGAGCTGCATCTGAGAGAAGTCGCCCAAAGACAGATTTGAACCCAGGTCTTTCATACCGCCACGCTCCGCATCCTATCTGCTAAATCTTGTCGCCAGCTCAGCACACATTTGAGCCGAGCTGGAAGGCCCGGCGTGGGCGAGTCTGACCCAGCAGCCCAGGAGGGCAGAGATCGCCGCTGACCTCAAGCTTCCGGCGGGCCTCCTCCTGCTCCCGCTTCTCCTTAGCCATCCTCTGTGCTCTCTCCGCCTCCGCCTTCCTCCGGTCTTCTTGTTCTTTCTCTTTGGCCAGGTTCTCAAAGTTCGCTCGGATATTGCTTGTTTTGCTGTTCACTAGAGAGGGAGACAAAGTCTATTTTTATTTTATCCCGAGAAAAGGACACACACATACACACTGTACATAACTGTTGGTCCGCCGTCTGCCCCGTAAGACTGTGACCCCCTGGAGAGCGGGGATTTTTTTTTTTTTGGCCTTTTTTTGGGTCCTCAGTGCTTAGTCCCATGTCTGGCGCACAGTAGGTATTGAAATTAAATGCTGTTGACTGGCTGACCAGAAATAGATAACCTCATGGGCAGGACCACATCAACAGGACAGATCGAGTGAGAGAGAATTTGAGATTCTCGCCAGAAAAAAAGGCTGGAGCTTCTTCTGCTGCCAGGAAAGAGTCTTCCCTGTTGCTCATTCATACTTTTAAAATCCATGGCGTGGCCCTCGATATTTCTTAGAGGAAACCACAAGCGCTGGGGAGGGGCTCACCAGCTTCTACCGGCAGCGTCTTCTGGTACGCCGAGGAAACTGTGGAAATGTCTTCAAAAGTCAAGGCATTCTACAAAAAATGAAAGAAAATGAGGTTCTGGGTGGCTAGCTTTTATATGGAGCGCAGTCTGACTTCTGCTTTATTTCTCTTTCCAACATCGATAATGCTTTCAAAAAAACCGTGCACTCGTGTTCCCAGTGAAAGACACAACACAGCCACCTACTGTACTGCTACATGTGCCGAGTATGTGTGACAGGAAAGACACTAAGTAACGGACAGAAAGACGACATCTCTCTCTCACACACACACACACACACACACACACACTCAACGTCCCATCTCCACATCTTTGTGCCTGCCTGGGATGCTCTCCCTCCTCAGCTCAAGGACCATCTTCTAGGTGAGGCCTTCCCTGAACCGCCCCCAAGAGCTAGTGCCTCCCCTCGGCCCCCAGCCACGGCCTGGTCTCCGTTGTATCTGCATGTGTAGGTACAGGCCGTCTCCCTGGCCTAGAGGGCAGGGATTGTTTGTTTGTATATCCAGCCCTTGGTGCAGGGTCCAGCACAAAGTAATTGTTCCATAAATGTTTGCTAATGGACAGATGACCCCAAAGCTAACAGTAGCAGGAACAGTTAAGTCTACACTTGTAGGTCTGCAAATTAATTCATTCCTGATGGCACCGACAGATTCCAGATACAGTCAGGCTGCTTTAACACTTGTTTTGAAAATGGAAATTTGTTCCAAGAAGTTGGTATGTTAGGGAACAATCTGACCACAATGCAAATTGAGTTTGCTTACACGCAACTTCATCCTGGAGAAACAGTGAGAATGCAGAAAACAGCCCCACTTCCCCACCATGAGCGGCCGTGCTGCCCACTTCCACGAGCTAACTGTGGGTCTTTTCACGGTGAAGGCCACATTTATCGTCTATCTTCCAGTGCGGTGGAGACTGAGTGGAGCGGGGCTGGCCTGAACAGCACACTCCCTCTGCCCCCAGCCCTCCCTCGGCCTCGGTCCTGGAGGGACGAGCTGGAGACGACTTTGCCAGTGTGGGCCAGGCACTCGGGAACCAGGGCGGAGACAGAACGGCAGCCCGAGCTTGGGACGCCACCATTCGTTGTCGTGCTTCTTTATCTCTTAACCATTTAACGTGCACAAAACTATGCTAGCATTTTTTATTAGGTTCCTATCTTTTTTTTTTAACATGCCACTGATGAAAATTTTGAGTATGATGCCCCAACCCCTGCTTTCCCATAAGCTCTGCGGTGCTTATTGCATCATTTTGCATAGTAAGGTGCTAATTATATTGAACCACCTAATTAGAATAGTAACAGCTAGCATATATGTGTGTGTATATATATATATATATATATATATATATACACATATATATATATATGTATATACACATATACAGTACTTTGTGGTCTGTAGAGTGCTTTACAAATATCTCATTTGATCCACACAATAACCCTGAGAAGAAGATGCTATTATTATCCTCAGTTTACAGATAGGGAGACTGAGGTTCAGTGCCTTGGCCAGAGTCGCCCAGCCGGTCAGTGCCTGACGCTGGATTTGGTCTGAGGTCTTCCCGACTCCAAGCCCCAGAGCTCTGTGCACTCTGGTGCCCCCTGGCTGCCACAGTACCCTCTAAAAATGTAGCCACTCAAGGTACAACCCAAAATCACCAAAGGTAAATACAAAAATCCCTTAGGGCAAGGGTTCTAACCTTGGGGGCCACTGACCGGTTTTTGGAAATGTGCAGTCACTGTATTTCAACACACTGAGGCTCCTTCATCATTCCTACGCATCGTTCTGAGGAGCCACCCCGGGCTGCCAGAGGGGCCAGGCCAGGAGGCCTCTAAGCCCAGGGACAAGTGCTCTTCATTCCACAGGGGCACAAGGTGATACTTACTTCGTCCACCCTGTCCTTCTGGAGCCCGTATTTTCCACCAAATCCTTTGGAGTAATCTGAAACAGGGAAGAACGGTGGGTTGGGGTCAGTCTGAGGGGGGGAGTGTTCCCCAGAGGAGGGTACGCACAGAGGTGGGTGGAATGGACAAAGGAAGATGCAGGGGTGCAAGGAAACCCAGATGGAGAAGTGCCACAGATGGGGGGAGCTGTTTTGTGACAGACAGCTCTAGCCCTCCTCCAAACCCTCGGTCCACAGGCAGGTGGGGAACAGAAGGGGCATGCGCATGCCTGGCTCGTGCTGGGAGAGGGGAGGGGAGAAGGGGAAGGGGAGGGGTGGCCGGGGCCAGCAGGATGGCTGATGGAGCCAAAGCAGAGGGCAGGAATGACAGAATGAAGTCTTTCAACAGGCACCACTTCATAGCACGGCCTCTCACTTCACAGCCCTCGTAGCGGACGTGGTTCAGTTTGGGTTTCTGGTGTGTGCTCTGGTATTTGATGAGCGTAAAAAAACCAAGTTTAATGGCATTTTTCTTGATTATTTTTAAGGAAGAAAAAGACCATGTGGGAACTCCACCCACAGAATAACTACGTGGCAGGAACATGTCTGCTTCCAAGTCAAATGTCCATGCAGAATTATTCACCACATAGACCCACGGGTTGAAATCATGCACTCTGGGAGATGGACACAAAGCCCCTTACCTCTCCCGGCCAGGCTGCAGGATTTCTACTACCAGCTATGGGAGAATGAGAGCCTAATATCTGTCCTGCAAAGTTAGGAAGTTACTAGTTTCCAGCCAACTGCTCAGGTCCTAAGCGCTAAGCCTGAATTCCTAATGAAGGGGAAAGACTTCTCCCCAAAGCAGAGAGAACATTTTGCTCTTTGCTACTTACTCAAAACACCCACCACCAATAATGCTGTGAGCTGGGAACGGTTTTTATTTTTATTTTGAAACTCTGCACATAGTTCTTTGAAGGGCAGCTAAGTGTACTGTGCCCTGAATGGAGTTTTCCAAAAGTAAAACGTTTCTCTTCTTGCCCCTCCACAAACAACATCAACAGAACAAAAAGACACCACACGGAACACATATGGCGTACTCCCAGCCCTGTGATCTAAGCGCCAGGCTTTTTCTGGCCTATGTTTGGGGCTTAATCAGAGGCCAGACCACAGCCATCCTCAATGATTGTCTCAGCTCTTGTGAAATCTGCCTGCCAGCCTACAGCGGCAGAACCTAACTCAAATCGGGGCTGACTTTTAAAATACAATGACTGCCAGCCTACAGAGGCAGAACCTAACTCAAAGCGGGGCTGACTTTTAAAATACAACGACAGCAGCCGTCAGATTTCCTGGAGGTTGTTGTTTAGTCATTTTTCAGTCATGTCTCATTCTCCATGACCCCATTTGGGGTTTTCTTGGCAGAGACACTGGAGTGGTTTGCCACTGCCTTCTCTAGTTCATTTTACAGATGAGGAAACTGAGGCAAACAGGGTGAAGTGACTTGCCCAGGGTCACACAGCTGAGAAGTGTCCGAGGCTCAATTTGAACTCAGAAAGATGTGTCTTCCTACTCTAGACCCCGGTCTCTATCCACTGCACCACCCAGCTGCCCATTTCCTGGGGATCCTGCAGGATGCTTTCTCAGATGCAAATTTATCTAAAAAGCACCAAGAGTTGAACTCTGTGACCTTGACTCCCAAAGGACCTTGTCTAAACACAATTTCCTCATGAGTGGCAGCTACGTGAATTGGCAGTGGGGGAGCATCTTCTCTGATCTTTGGGTCTGACAAAGGCTGTGGGGAGGGCGGGCCAGCTCTAGGGTTTGTGATGGTAATTAGAGCATCACCTCCAGGTGAGCCAAGAAAGCCTGCTAATCCCTTGGTTCTGATAGCAACCCCCCAGCACCATAGGGTGTGGAAGCAATGAGGTTCCGAGGCAGCCCTCTGGGGAAGGTTGCGTGGCCCTTCTCCAAAGCCAATCTGGTCTAACTAGCCCGAGACTCCCCCCTCCTTTTCCTCTGGGCTCTGAGGGACAGAGCACCCCTAACAGGCGCTGTCTGTGCAAGGCTGTGCTACAAGTGGGTGCCTGGGAAGGTGAGGAGGAGCCCGAGGCCACGCAGCGACTGTGCCTTGCTGAGATTCGTGCTGCGCCAATTTCTCCTTGTACTCAAACCCCACAGCAGATGGGTCCTGCCTCTCGGTCTGGACCCCGAATTTGCCTCCGAAACCACTCTTATAATCTGAAAATCCACACAGGACAGCAGAGAAGACAACCAAGAGAGGAAAAGACACTTTTAGTTACAGAGACACGGACTGGTGACATAGCAGAGACACCGCTCAGAGAAAGCAAGAGCTTATCTATAGATTGCATTGGAAGGGGAAGATGGAATCCCGGCTTGCAGCCCCACTCTCTGGAGGCTCGGAACATGGGTGCCATGTATGGGGCCAACTCAGATGGCTTAGAGGGCAAAAGGAAAGAAGCAGTCCAAATCCCCAACTTTACAGATGAGGAAACGGAGACCCACAGGAAGTAACTTCCCCCAAGTTTGTGTAAGCATGCCTTCACAGCTGCATTTCTAACATTCCTCCCCAGTGAATACGTCTGTGTGTATGTGAAAGACATGTCACACACACACACACACACACACACACACACACACACACACGTTGTGAGTCATGTACACAGGGATAACATTCACTGAATATATCTACGATTTCTCTTTTGGAAATTACAAGAGGGTTCTGCTCTGTTTTCTTTAAAGAAAAAAAAAACAGGACCCCTCTCCCTAATCCTTTCGGGTAAGAAGCAGAATTATTTCCTTCCCTAAATACGGGGGAAGTTAGGGAGGGACAAGGCAGCCCTTTCCTTTTTCCATTGCTTTGAAGCAGATGCCAATCTCAAATCCTGACTGAGCCCCTTTTCCATCTGTCAAAAATACCCGAGGGAGAGCTGGACCCCCGCGCGAGCTGTTGCGCCCTGAGCGAGCCGAGTTTCTTTGGGACACCAGGAAGCAAAGGGCAGCTTCAAACAAGCAAAGCCAAAAGGCCCCTTTAAACCCCAACCACCCCACTGGAGCACCATTGACCTACAGATGAAGAGTCTTCTCTTGGCCCTGGTGAGAATAGTGGAGGGAGATGGCTGTACCTTTTTGGGATTCGTGGAGTTGAACTTTCTCCTGGTGGTCCCAGCCCAAGGCACACTTGTCTTGTCTGTCTCTCTGCACACCAAACTTGCCTCCAAACCCTTTCACATAGTCTACACACATAATAAAAGGCCACAAGAATCACAGAAGGAACTGGAGAATGGGAAGAAGGCTGAGACCACGCTGCACGGACAGACGGCAGACTGTGGGTCCCCCCTCCCCCACCCAACCGTCCTGGGAAAGGATCTCTGTGCTGGTGAGTGGGTGTCCTCTGGAAGGAAGATCTCCTCCCTTCTTGGGAGGCATCAAGAAAAATCCCCTCTGGCCTCCCTGGCTAGGGTCAATGCTATTCATGGGTCAGACCAACACAGACAGGCCCCTACTGAGGAGAAGCTCCAATCCATGTGACATCAAACACCATTTGTTAGGCCCAGGGTCTCCTCATCAAAAGGACATACACATGCTGCACACTCTCAAGACAAGGCTAGGAAGGTATGGATACTCCTGGGCCGCAATCAGAGCAGGAAAGGCAGAGGGAGCTGTTTACACTTGAATCATATTTGGGGATCTGACGGGTTTTTAAAAAGCCATCTACTGACCCAAGGGCTCATCATGTTAGGGGCAAACAGTCAAGAACACAAGAGAAAACTGGAGAAACCTTTCTGGGACTCGTGCTTCTCTGTTTTGCCCTGATATTCAAAGCCAACAGCACTTTTGTCCACATTGTCCTTATCAACACCATATTTACCACCGAAACCTCGGGAATAATCTAGGAAAAAAGGAGAGAGAAAAGAGTCATTCATGCCATCTAATGCAGTCATTCAAACCCAAAGCCCGAGCTCAAAGCTGTGCATCTTTACTTGTCCTCAGAGCACGAGGCCCCTCCAGGAGCCAACAAACCGCTGAAGGGCACAGGGCTGATGAGTGGAGTTAGCGTGCCCAGCGGGACTGGGCAGTGTTGGTGACAATGGCAGTGGTCACAGCCAATGACCCAACTAGAACAGGAAACAACACGGCGACTCACACAAGGACTGCAAACAATTCCGCTCCGTCTTTTTTTTCCCCCCAAAATATTTCACTTTGCGAAATCTTTTAAAAACTGTCACAAGTCTCTAAGAATCATGGTAGGTCACAGTAGGGAGGGGGAAAATGACTAGCACTGTCCTGATCTCCCTTCCAAACCACCTTGTCTTTAATCCCTTTGTATGTGTTTAACAGTGTGTGTTCCTGTGTCTGCGTATATGCATATGTATGTGTGCACACAGACACACATAAACACTGCATGTTAATGCATTCACTTTATATTTGTGTCGTATGTATTTTAATATGTCCTTGTTGTCTGCTCCATCAGAATGCTAGCTCCTGAGGAGTAGGTACTCTTTGTACGTGTGGCCCGAGAACCTAGCACTGTGCCTGGTAAATAGTAACTGCTTAATAAAAGTGCTTATTGATTGATCAGGAACTCCTACCAATGCAGGTTGGAACCTGCTTTAAGCTTCTAGGCTCAGAGAGCTGCCCAGAGTACTGAGAGGCTAGTGACCTGCTCAGGGTCACACTGCCACTATGGGTCAGATGAAGGACTTGAACCCGGATCTTGGCTTTGGAGTTGGCTCCCCGTCCACCATGTAACACTCTTAAGTCACAGTAAAAAGAGTAAAATAAGTTTCTAGAGTGTAACACGATCACCACCCCTAAAAACGAATCCTTCCCCATGGCCTTTGCAATGATCTAGAGAAAGCAAGTGATTGGAAATGTCATTCCGCCAGTCCTCCAGCCCAAGCGGCCCTTCAACCCCGCTGCCACACCCCCACCGGGATCCACCATGGATACAAACCTTTCTGGGATTCGTGCTTCTCAGTTTTACCCTGGTAATCAAAGCCCACCGCGCTCTTGTCCACCCGGTCAGCCTGCACACCGTATTTACCACCGAAACCACTAGAATAATCTGAGCATGTGGAGACAACAAGCGTGAGAGCAAGCCCAAGTGACAAGGTTATGAGACTGATGAAACAAAGGATTCTGAGAACTTAGCAAATCCAGGATGCCTGGCGGCATGGAGGAGCCCGGCTGCACAGAGCCTGGTGGCATGGGGGAGCCTGGCTGCATGGAAGAGCCTGGCTGCACAGAGCCTGGCAGCATGGAGGAGCCTGGCAGCACAGAGCCTGGCAGCATGGTGGAGCCTGGCTGCATGGAAGAGCCTGGCTGCACAGAGCCTGGTGGCATGGGGGAGCCTGGCAGCACAGAGCCTGGCAGCATGGTGGAGCCTGGCAGCACAGAGCCTGGCAGCATGGTGGAGCCTGGCAGCATGGTGGAGCCTGGCTGCACAGAGCCTGGTGGCATGGGGGAGCCTGGCTGCATGGTGGAGCCTGGCTGCATGGAGGAGCCCGGCTGCACGGAGGAGCCTGGCGGCATGGTGGAGCCTGGCTGCATGGAGGAGCCTGGTGGAATGGTGGAGCCTGGCTGCACAGAGCCTGGTGGCTTGGGGGAGCCTGGCTGCCCAGAGCCTGGCGGCATGGTGGAGCCTGGCAGCATGGTGGAGCCTGGTGGCATGGAAGAGCCTGGCTGCACAGAGCCTGGCAGCATGGTGGAGCCTGGCGGCATGGTGGAGCCTGGCTGCAGAGCCTGGCAGCATGGTGGAGCCTGGCGGCATGAAGGAGCCTGGCAGCACAGAGCCTGGTGGCATGGTGGAGCCCGGCTGCACGTTGGAGCCTGGCCACATGGAGCCTCTGGCTGCGGGGAGCACATGCTGAGTCAGCAGGCAGCTCCTGATGCCCTGGGGCGGGGGAGGGGAGCACCACAGTCCCGGGGCCATGCTGTGCTTCAGCAATGCCAGATTCTCACATGCAGGTTACTTTCGGCACCAGGAGAGAAAGCAGCTGCCTTCAACAGAGCACTGCAATTCAGCCCTTTCCAATCGGGCCGAGGCATTTGCCTGTGTGCACAAATGGAGTTTGGGCACTTTGAAAAAAGAGCAGAAAGCTGCTTTCCTCCCTGAGGGTATGTGAATGTGGGCAGAGTATTTGCAAATGGCCTTGGTGGCCCTCTAGTGGACGCCCCTGAGGAACTCATCACAGGACAAGCAGACCAAAGAGTGTTATTAGAACCTGTGCTTTTAACGAAGGCTGGAGTACCAAGATTTGTGGAAACCAAAACACCTCCAGGAAATTTCTCCTCTTTCATGAGTATGGCTGGTTCAGTGTGTCACAAACTTACAAAGCACTCATCCTCAGAACTCCTAATACCGTCCACCAAACAAAAGGCTTCAAGGGCCTCTGAGAATGAAGGAATCTCTTCTTTTTGGGGGATGGGAGGCAAAGTGGAAGGGAGGAGGCTGCCTTCCTAAAAACTACATCCTAATAAAACACAGTTCTGACCACCTGCTGATGGGCGAGCTAGAACAATTCGAGACCAGTCATATCACAAGAAGGTGCTCATTATTCATTTGTCGGGAAGAAAATGAACTTTTGGCTTACAAGCTGACAAGGCCAATCTTTCATCAGCCCAACACTAAGTCTACAGCGAGGGGCCGGTGGTAGACAATGGCCCAGTGAGGAAGGCTGGAAGTTCTGCCCAGGCTCCAGAGGACAACGGAACTCCCCCCAGGCTGGGAAGGTACATCTAACAAGGATTTGTTATGGCTCTGCCTACCCGGAAGTCCCCGAAATGCAGAAGAATGGTCCGTGACTTTAAGAATGCAGGAACCTCGTGTTTTAAAGGAACCTCGTTTCCCTTTCCCAAATCAGATTGATGGGGGGATTTTTTCCCCTCCTTCCAGCAGGAAATCATCCCCAATCTTACCTTTCTGTGAAGCATGTTTCTCGGTTTTGCCTTGGTATTCAAAACCCACAGCAGACTGTGAAAGACAAAAGAAGTGTACACATCATAAGACTCCAAACCAGTTCCTAAGCTCAGAGTAACTAGCCCCTCACCAAGGACCCACAGTAAGGGGCCCTCTCATCACCTGGAATGCCCCAACCAGTCAGCCAGGAACCCTGGACATCTTCCAGCAAACGGTCTGGCGCAAACCACGTCTGAACAACGAAGTCCACTCACCGCCTCTTCCCTTCGCCTTTTATTTTACCTTTGACAAAGTCATTTTCTCTAGAAGAGGCAGCTGGTACTGGGCGTGAAATCAAGAAGGCTTGAGCTCAAATTCAGCGTCAGACACTTCCCACCTGTGTGACTTTAAGCAAATCACTTAACCTTTGTCTGCCTTGGTTTCCCCAATTCTAAAATGGGGATAATAACAGCACCTACCTCTCAAGGTTGTTTTGAGGAACAAATGAGATAATATTGCACAGTACTTGGCACGTAGTAGGTGCTATATAAATGCTCATTCCTTTCCTTTCCCTTCTTCCACCCCCTAAACAAGAGCTTATGATAGTTATGTAAATTAGCATCAGCCCATCAGACTTGGGAGGCTAAGGCTTCAGAAAGTTCCAAAGGGACAGACACCTTTGTGGTCAAATTTTTTTTTCATATAAATTAGAAAAAAAAAGCATAGGATTTGGAGTTGGAGCGCCCAGGGTCCCAGGCTGGAAAAGACCTCAGAAGCACCGAGGCCAAACGTCTCAATGTATGGATGAGAACAGTACTGAGGTCTAGGAAGGTGACATGACCAAGGTCACACAGGTAGAAAACTTCGGAGGTTGCTTTGAACTTGAGTCCCCTGACTCACGAGTGCGCCACTGTCCATGAATACGGAACGGTCCCCCAGTTGTTGACATCTTCCATTTATTCTGCAATTCCAAGTTTACAGTTGTGTTTTTAAAGGGCACGGACCATTTCCATTTCCTCATATAACCCATCAGAGACTGGGGAGTCCAAATGTAGTGCTTCTGACTCCACAAATGATAAAAAACAAGTCCTTCCGTTTTTTCATTGTATGTAGGCTCTTGTTTCAGCAAGAAATTTCTGTTGTGTGAGATTTCTTTTTTCTCATTTCCTATTCCTATTCACCATTTTAAGAATCATCAATTGAATTTTATCAAAGACCTCCTCCCAGTGCCTTCCTTCTGATTGTTCCTTTCACCTCCTCTGTATCTATCTAATAAGCACACGGTTATTTGTCCCCTTGCTGGAATGGGAGTTCCGTGGGGGCCGGGCCAGTTTTGCTTCCTTGTATTTCCAGCATTTAACACATATTCTGGTGTGTAGGAAGTGTTTAATAATAAATGCTGGTTGACTGACTATTTCTATTGGTTTTGGTTTCTTTGTTTTGAAAATGTATGTGGTGTATTATGTTGATAATTTTTCTGACATTATACCAGCCTGCAATAGCTGGTATAAATTGTATTTGATTTTAACGAAGCATTAAATACACACATATCTTTAGTATTTTTGTATATCTATTCATTTTTAAGCGGTCGATGATTGTCCTGTATAGGACTGTCTTTACCAGGTCAGATAAAAGGTATGCCACAGCACCTATTTCCCCCTATACTTGTGAATGATTTCCTCCACAAAAGTCCTACTCAAGATGCCTCATCCTGCACGGAGGTGACTCAGGGTTCTCGGAGGCTACGCCCAAGAAGGGGAGGCCAGGCAGGTTCTTCCTGAAAGGGCTTCGAGTGTGGGTCCAATGTCAGACTGTGCCTTCCATACTAACCCAATCAAGCAAGGAAAGATTCGTCACTAATGAGGCGACTGCTAAGTTTGGCCACAACGCAGCCAAAATGTCTCCAGCACAGTGACAGACGAGGCTACGTGATGTGGGGAAAAGTTCTGACAGCGACGTTTTCAGCAACTCGGGGGGTGGAAGCGCCACATTTGGGGACCTCAGCAACTGATATGCTTAATGAGGATGTACAAATGGCACCTACAAAAGACACTCACATGAGCAGCTTGACAAGTCTGTCTTGGGTTCATAAGAACCTGAGTGGACAAGGACAGAGTCCATTAAGTCAGACGTCCCCATTTAACAGATGAAACCGCCAAGGCCCAGGGAGCATAAGTGATTATTCCAAGGTCACCTAGGCATTAAGTGTCAGGGTGGGAGTTACACACTCCTGTGCCTCGAGGGCGCTTCAATGCTTTTTTCTTAAAAATTTTTATTTTTCCCAATTATATGTAAAAACAATTTTTAACATTCTTTTTTTAAATTTTGAGTTCCAAATTCTCCCCCACCCCCCTCTCCCCCTTCCTTGAGAAGGAAAGCAATTTGATATAGATTATGCGTGTGCAGTCATGTAAAACATATTTCCATATTAGCCACATTGCGAAAGAAAATACAGACCAAAAAAAAAAAAGTTAAAAAAAATTCTGCTTCACTCTGCACTCAGAATACAACCATTCTCACTCTTGAGGTGGAGAGCATCCTTCATCATGGGTCCTTTAGCACTGCCTCAGATCATTCAGTCTTTTTTCAGTCAATCAGGCCACCTCTCTTACAAGTACTGATGAGAGATTTGCAATATATTTGGAAGTGCTTGCTGGTGTTTACTCACGTCTGACTCTCCATGACCCCATTCAGAGCTTGCTTGGCAGAGATACTGGAGTGGTTAGCCATTTCTTTCTCTAGCTCATTTTATAGATGAGGAAACTGAGGCAAACAAGGCTAAGTGACTTGCCCTGGGTCACACATCTAGTAAGTAAGTGTCTGAGGCCGGGTTTGAACTCACAAAGATGAGTCTTCCTGACTCCAGCCCTGGCACTTGATTCACTGTGGTGCCCCCTAGTGATCCTATTTAGAAGTGGGGAAGATACTAAATGACTGGGGTGGGGGCGGGGAAACAATGTCAATAGTGCTTCTACATCGCTGAGATCTTGACAAGAAGACGTGGGACCTGGCTGGAAAGCTGGACCCAAAGAATAAATCTATTCTACTTAATTCTGCTATTTTCTTTCTCTCCTTATCCCAAAGAATTGGTCTGGTCACATGTTGATACGAAGAATTCTGATTATCTTTTTATCAACTGTAAATAAGTAGGCAAACAGGCACAAAGTAAACACAAGTGAATGTGAAAGGGCATCAGGAGAAGCAGCAGCCACCTGCCACGTCATCCACAGCAAGCGGTTCTGGGACTGAGCTTTGAAGAAGGCAAGAGGCAAGAATGAGAAGGGAGAGCACACCAAGCATGCAGGACAGCCTGGGCAAAGGCCCGGAGATGGGAGAGGGAGTTGTTGAGGGATGGGTGGAGGGTAGGCCATTTTGGCTGGATCACAGCATAGGCAAAGGAGAGACGTGTGCAGGCTGTCTGGAGATGAGGGCAAGAAGCGCACTGAGACAAGCCCAACAGAGGAGCTTTAATTAAATGGTACTGTTTGTTTTTCTGCTTCCTTCATTAACCCCATTATTCCTAGATTTTTTTGTTCCCACAGAGAGCTTAGGCTTTTTCTCGGGTTGATGCTTACTTCTAATTCTGTTACACTGATTTGAAAATGCAGCATGCATAATTTCCATCTTTTCAGGTTTCAAAGGTCTCCTGGGACTAGCTCGGCTGACGGGTCCAAGCACACTGGACAGTAACACCGTGCACCTCGCACTCGCTTCTCTCCAAAGGAAGCTGCTGGACCGGGGGCTCGTTCCAGCTCTGCTCCTGTGCGCAGGCCACCTCATCACCTGCTTGTGGAAATCCACAGACTCGCCAGCATCCCTGTACAACAGCACTTCTTCCTTCCTTCCTTCTGGAAACCTCAAGAGCTTTTGCACTTTCTTTCCTTACCTTTATTCCAAAATTCAACAGTCTGTGCACTGGTGAACTCTAGGTAGGATTTCTTCACACAGCTTTGTTTTCTAGGGATCACTGACTCATCGGGTCCGTGACAGGAGGCTTTGGTCTTGTGCGGTGTCTTTGGGAATTCCAGGTGACTCAAAGTGCAGTCCTTGCTCTGACAATCCCAATCAATTACGCTGCCTACACATCAGTTAGCTGCTCTAAGCTCCGCTGTATTCTGAGCATGCTTTCGGCTTTATTTTCATTACCTTACAGATCTGTCCTCAGTCGAATTTATTCTGTTATTTCTTGTGTCCACTGAGATTTTGACTTTTAGTTCTTCTGTCTTGGAAGTCTCCCTGACTGGCCCATGATTCCTCTTGGTGTCTCTGGAGTCTTCTTTTCACACATTTATTATCTATGAGATTTACTTCACCCTTTGGTAAAAGCTTTGTGACTGGCACTATTACTTCTCAAGCCACTTGTCCCAGCGATCTTTTGACAAAGAATTCTTTTATGTGCCATTTTGTTTGTGGATTTACTTATTCTTTCAGGTCCAGAGTGACGCCAGCAAAAAGGGGCAGCCGGGGAGGGGGGAGTCATGAAGAGCTGTGGCCAGATAGAAGATTTTCTATTTGATCCCACGGCTAGTAGGGAGCCACGGGATTTCTTAAATAGAGAGAGGATATGGTCAGATGTGGGCTTTAGGAAGACCAATTTCACAGCTGAATGGAGGATGGACAGGATCGAGGAGAGAACTGAGGCAGGCAGACCCCCAGAGCATTGCAATAGTCGAAATGTGAGGTGATGAGGGCCTGCGGGGGAAGTGAGGGGAGTGTCAGAGGAGAGAAGTGGGTGTAACCGAAAGAAATGGTAGGATCTGGCAAGACTGGACATGTGGGGTACCGAGTACAAGTGAGAAATCAAGGATGACACTGAGCTTGACTGGGAGGTTGGCAGTGCCCTCGACAATAACAGGGATGTCTGAAAGGATGGAGAGACTGGGGGGAAAGACAACGAGTTCAGTTTTAGACACGTCGAGCGTAAGATGTCTACGGAACATCTAGTCTGAGAAGCGCGAAAAGCAGTTGGAGATGCAAGACTGGAGGTCAGGAGAGAGGTCAGAGCTAGATAAATAAATCTGAGAATCATCTTCATAGAGATGACGTTTGAATCCATGGGAGCAGATGAGCTATCCAAGCAAACTAGTATAGAGAGAGAAAGGGCCAAGGTCAGAGCCTTGGGGCATCTCCATTGTGTGTGGGCATGACATGGATGAAGATCCAGCAAAGATCTGTTCAGACAGGTAGGAGGAGGAGAACCAGGAGGCAACAGTGCCATGAGAACCTGGAGAGAAGAGAGCACCAAGGAAAAACTTATCAGAAAGATGAAGACTGAGTAAAGGCCGTTCAGTCTGGTGAGTAGGAGACAGATCAGTGGAAACTTTGGAGAGGGCACTTTCAGTTGAATACTAAGCTTGGAAGCCAGATCGTTGAGAGTTAAGAAGGTGAGGAGAGGAAGTGGAGCCACCTGTCACAGACAACCTCCTCAAAGAGTTTGGTCATGAAAGAGAGGAGAGATACGGGACAAAACCAATGGGGATGAATGTTCACGTGAGAGTGTTTTGCAAATGGGGAATACATTAGTATGTTTGTAATCTGGAGGGAAGCAGCCAGTAGCCAGGGAGTTACTGAAGATAAGCGAGAGGGAAGGCACGCTGCCACAGGTGATGGGATAGGGTCGCTTTTGCACGTAGAGGACTTTGCCTTAGCAAGGAGCAGGGCTACTCATTAGTGAGGCAGGGATGAAGGAGAAGAGAGTGGCGGAAGGCATCTGGGTGAAGGGAGATAAGGAGAGGAAGGAAATACGGAGCTCCCAAAGGATGGTCTCAATTTTTTCAGGAAAATATGAGGCAAGGTTTGTCAGCCAAGAGGGTGGAGGAGGGGGAGCTACAGGTTTGAGAAGGGATTAAAAGGTTTGGAAAAGCCACCGAGGAGAGTGGGACATCGAGTCTATTAGGGAGGTATATTTAAAGGATTGCCTTGCTGCAGTGAGAGCCCAGTGTGACATATCCAGTCAACATGGTTTCATGGTTTTCTCCAACAGCTGAGCAGCACAGGTGCAGGAGCAAAGGTGGCAGATGCTAGTAGATGCTTCCAAGGCTGAAGCTTGGAAGGCAGAGCAAGATCTTTGATAAGGGGCCTAGTGACTCCAGAGAAGAGGATAGTGTAGCATTGAACCGGTTCGCCAAGGGGTAGAGATCAATCAATCAACATTTATGAAGAGCCTACTATGCACCAGGCGCCAAAGGAGAAGGTGGCTAGTGCAGGAGGATGGCCCTGAACTGAGGGGTCAAGAGATCGGAGGTCACTGAGGACAAAGAGTAAACTGGCAGTAGTGAGGCAGAGGGAGGGGTGGTGATTAGCCAGGAATAGCAGAGTTTATGGTCATGAAGTAGCATGCCTTCTCCTGAGCACCATGCTTCCAGCAAATTCAATTTGGCAATCTTACAAGATGTTCCAAAATATTCAAAACCAAGAGCATTGAACCTGCAGTCAGAGGGTCTGGGTTCAAATGCCAGCTCATCCCTTACCACCGATGGGACCCTGGGCAAGGCAATAATTCTCTGGCCTGCTGCTTCCTCAGCTGTCAAAGGGTGGTGGAGGCAGGGAGTGAGAGGGAGGGTGGGCTTGCAGACCTCTAAGGTCCTTCCCTCATTGAAATCCGTGAGTCTATGATTGTGGTGGTTGTTCAGTTTCAGCCGTGTCTGAATCTCTGTGACCCCACTGGGGGTTTTCTTAGAAAGATAATGGAGCGGTTTGCCATTTCCTTCTCCAGCTCATTTTACAAATGAGAAAACTGAGGCAAACAGGGTGAAGTGACTTGTCCAGGGTCATAAGAGCTAGGAAGTGTCTGAGGCTGAATTTGAAATCAGGTCTTCCTGATTCCAGGCCCAGTGCTCTATACACTACACCACCTAGCTGCTGAGAGATCACACAAATCCTGGGCAGAAATATAATTTTTCTAAAAGATTTCCCCCAGCACCTGGGCCAGGAGTTTCTAGTCCAAGCCTGTTCACTGAAACACCAGCCCTCCTGAGCCCCATAACATCCTTGGCCACAGAAGGAAGGGTCAGCTCCATCACTTACCTGATCAACTCGATCCAGCTGTACCCCAAATTTGCCACCAAAGCCTCTCACAGAATCAACCTGAGAGCAGTGTTTGGAAAGCTTGGACTGGTATTCGTGGCCAACGGCAGACTGGAAGAGAGTTTTTAAAAGACCAGTTACACAGCTGATGAGCAGACCTTCTATTACTTTATCACTCGAGGCATACGAAAGCAACATGAAGCTCTTGGCCTAGGAAAAAAGCAGGGTGGCGGGGTGGGGGTGGGGGTGGGGCTTGATTTTTGTTCCAAAAGGATTCACAGCAGAGGCACGCGCTTTCTCAGGCCATTAGATGGTCTGGCTGTTTAACGTTCAGTGAACATGGAAACTACGGTCATTTTCACTGCCTACAAAGCTTGGCCCCCAGCCACGCTGCGACCAGCATCGGGAGCACAGAATGAGCCTTCCTGTGGACGGGACACTGGCTTTGGGCTTTTTGTCTTTGTCCAGACCACAGTGATTAAAGTTGCTATGGTAACTGCTGGGGACGAAGCTCCTCTCCCGAGGTGGGGCAGAGCCGTCTTTGCGACTGTTTCACATTGTCTGGGCACTCACTCAAGGTCACACAGCCAGGATGTTCAGAGGCAAGATCTGCTTCCCCAGCTTCCTAACTCTCAGGTTTTCCATCTACGCACTACACCAGGCTGCCTCTCTGTGCCATTTAATGAGCTAAGGCCTTTCTAATGGAAATGCTCACATAAACCCATATGTTTGATTTGCATTTCTGTCACATACACTATGGACATGAATACATCATAAGGCATACCCTCAAAGACAAGAAAACCCCAAAACACATCAATTCAGAATTTGAGTTTCTCCACTGGCAACAACCCTGGTGATGCCTGGAGTCTCCCATCAGTTGGAGAGTTGGTCTTAATAGTATTAGCCTGTAACAAAAGACAGACGAGAGGGTAGAATTCGGAGGCAACCTGGCCCCAAGGGGAGAGGCTTGGTGAGTAAGGAGACATGGGTCGGATCCCAGCTCTGGCATCACAGCTGTGGGACCTTGGGGAAGGTACAACCGCTTCATGCCTCAGTTTCCTCATTTGTAAAACTTATGTCACAACGGTATGGTGAGAGCATCTTTTAAGACTTAAAGTGCCTTATAAACGTTACTGACAATGTCCAGGGGCCTGTCCACTATTTTACACAGGAAGATTTTCAAACTAATATTACATCATACTCTTGCTTATATCATAAACCTTGGTAGAATGAGTGCTGAGTTCTGAACGTTTTCTAGACACTTACGAAGGGTTGGTGGCTGGAACTTAAGCCCAGCTGCAATTCTCCCCATTCCTACCAGACACTTCCTTTCCCCCCCAGAAATTCTTGAGCCCCTTGCTCATGGCTTCCTAAGTATCAAAGGCATCCCCCGCAATGGGCATTTGGAGCAGAACTCACTCTGCTCCGCAGTTTGACTAGACACGAGCTCCCTCAAGTGAGCAAAGCTCCCAGGCACCCCAGTGAGCTTCCAAAGCCGCTGCTACTGCCTTAGAAACATTGGATGACCCGGGACTCCCCAGTCATCTGATGCAGCGGCAGGAGCCAGTCTTGGCTCTGCCCTGCTGTGGGTGCCCTGAGCGTCCACGGCCCTGGACTACAGCGGCATGACCTTTCCGAGGCTCAGTTTCCTTCTCTGTAAAATGAGGGAATTAGACTATGTGAATTTGAAGGCCCTTGCCAACTCTTGAGCTCTGAAGAGTGTAGCAGCCAAACTGTGACGGGCTCCCTATCAGCTCCCTCCTCACCAAAGCGGAGATGGAGGAAACTCCTACTTGCCAGAGGCACCCCATTTCCTGTCAGCTTGGACCTCATCCAGCCCATGTCCTTCCTAGTCACTTAAAGCATGCAGTGAGAGATCTGTGGGACTCAGCCACTGTGTGGGTGTCTGGCTTAACTACCATGCTTCTTGGTGATGAGAGGGTTTGATTCGGGACACAGGGAAGGGGACAGTCACTGGCAGTGACAGTGATGCTAGGGTAGTTTGCTTTTTCTTTTGCGTTTTGGGGTGTTTTTTTGAGAATCGACAAAACATTTCAAGAAAGGGAGAAAACCGTCCCAGTTAGGCAGACCGCCTTGGCTTCCCCTGTTGCCCATTTCTTCCCGGCTCCTCCCCGGATCCTGCTGTGACCTCAGCAAGGAGCCTTCCTGACTCCTGGGTGCATGTTACCCCCTCCTTCCACATTCTTCATTTCTTGGGGTAGACGCATTTCTAGCAGAGGGGGGAGGGAACCAGTCAGGACGGGACAGGCTCTTCGTGTTCTTTTAATTTTTCACATTAAAGGGCGTGTCCCATCGGCAGAAGTTTTTGCAAAATGGGTTCACATACTCTACAAATGTCAGTTTTTGGTCCCAGCCCTGCCCTATCTGCTCTGGGGCAGAGGGAAGTGGAGAAAGGGAAAGAGAAAACCAAAAACTGACCTCGCCCCCCCTGCACATCATAATGACCCAGCCTGGCTGGCTTATAAACGCAAAAAGTAACTCCTAAACCCAGCCTACCCGAATAACCCTAGTAACCAGTGGTGTAAGGGAAAGACCCGGAGAATCCAGCCACTCTGCACCCCACCCCTAGCAGCGGGCAGGTTGTATCCAATACAAGAAACCCTCTGAGCCACAACCTCCCCATGGGCCCTCGTGGCTTCCGTTGTGGGTCACGGCCACCCTTACACTAGTGATTAAAGACAAAAGGCCCCCAAAGGGCACCATCAATAAGACCACAACCCCCACCCTGGCCACGGCTGGCTCCCTAATGAACATCGTCTGGCTGAGCTTCGGGGCCCCTCGATGCTCCCCCGGCCCCTCCTCTCGCTCAAGCCTGAAGAAAGGAGCTAACATTCTCCGGTCAGATTTGTGTAGACAGTGGAAACAGTGGCTGCCCCGAACATGGATCACTGGAGCTAGTGATGGAGTTCAGCAGCAGGCACGTCTTCGGTTCTTCTCCTACTACGATGTCTCCAACTACACGCTAAACCTCCCCCGGCTCTACTTGATCCCAAGGCATTTGACGTTTGTGCGTGGCGGGAAACAGTTCTTGAGCTGGTGAAACCCCAAACCCAGCTCATCGAGATGGGGCTGGCCCTCCCTTCTCCCCTTTCTCCACAAGGGAGAACAGTCCTTACCACTTCCCTTAACTTTGCTCCCACACAGCTCCCGGAGGCAGAGAGATAAATGACAAAGGTCATTCTCTCTTGTCTGTTGGTGGCTGTTGTGCCAATTCTCAGTTCCGTGACTAATTTAGGACAGACGTCTTTATTTGGAACCACCCATTTCCACAGACTATAAGCCAGGTATGATGCCCCCCCCATGACCGCAATGTCATCCCATCGCCCAAGTCAAATGTCTAAACCAACCTATACACAAGGCAAAAAGAAAAGTCAACCTCCAAAAGAGCCAGTTCATCAGCTGATCCTTTAGCCTCCATCCAGGGCAGGAGGACAGGCAGGCATCAAGGGCCCAAGTGACAGAGTGCCCAAGAAGCCCCAGACACCAGTCAACTCTAAGGTCTGTCAACAAGGCAGAGAACGACCATGCTACCAGAACAACAAACCTGTTGTTTCCCACGCCTGCCCCTCAAGAACAAACCACCACAGGGTCTAAAATTAGCTGGGAGGAAAGAGGCAGAGGACTGTCAAAAGAAACAGACGGGAGCTGACGTGGTTAAGCCAAAGGCTTCCCTTAGCTTTTGCTAAAAGCTAGAGACGATCGCTTGAATGGGGATCTGCCCACAAGCTTTTAAAAATAGTTATTTCAACCTCAGCCTCTCAGTATAGATTCAACCTATAACAGGCTATACCTTCAGTCTTTTAAGTTTACTTAAGATTTGAAGAAACTTTGCTGGACTTTGGGCCGAATCTGGCAAGCGCCCCATCCACACGGTGGTCTGGACTTTGTGTATTTCAGGCTGGCGGCCAGGGCAGGCAAGACCGGCTACTTCTGCCAACCCCGGCTGAAGCCCTGGCCCACGCACAGGGTTAATACCGGACCCTCATCCCTCCCCTCATGTCCTTTGTAATCTGGTGTATTTCACCGGAGATATTTGGAACTGTATCTGAGAAGGGATCAATAGGGTTCACCTATGGCCTGCCAAGAAGGTCCAGGACACCACAAGGGTTAAGAACCCTTGTTGGAGACCACGTCAAAGATCCCAGTCTGCCCCAGCCATGAACGGGATTAGCTGCAACATGGATTTCGATGTCATTTGGGGTAAATAAATGAGAGCCCTACAATCAAATTCCAATTCTGGAGAGTCAAGTTTTTCTAGGTTGACCTCTCATCCATTCGGATCATTCTCATCCAGAGTTTTCAGCTGCTCGGGTAGAGGCAACGGGAGCCACCCCCTGGTCAAACACTGCCATTTTACATAGGGCTTTGGCTGAACCGGGCACCTTTAAACTTACTTTATCCATTCTGTCCTGCTCGACACCAAATTTTCCTCCATAGCCATGGGATGCTTTGGGTCCTGTCTCAAGTTCCTTCTCCTTGAGGGTCTGATGTTCTTGAAAAACATTCTCTCTTAGCTTGTGTATGCTGAAATAAAAGGGGGAGAATTCACATACCTCTGGAACAGAGCAAAACATTTCTCCCAGTTTTCCCTTCCCCCCAGACGAAGGATGTAGTCCAACCTCTCAGTCTCCTGGCTCACAGGGTTCCCATATCTCCAGCTTCCACGAGTCCCCCACCTCGTACTGTGAGGTCAACTATTAAAGTCTGCACCTATCTCAGGCATCTCAAAGGTCCAGTGACACTGATGGAAAGCAGGTCCACTTCTTGTAGGGAAAGTGAGACCATGGAGAGAAAAATGTATGGACCTAAAAACTGATGCCTCTTTCCCATCCTAGGGGACAAAAGATTTCTCTATTTGTTCACATGCCTGACTCTGGATTATAGCAGTGTACCTGCAGACTTGTGGCTAAGGGTAAGAGAGAAGAATGAGGAAGTCTATGGAACCAACTGGCCATGGTCCAGCAACCCTGTGCATTCCCATCATTCACAGAAAACCCACGTCATAAACCAGACTGTGCAGAACATGCTAGAGCCAGGGAGCCCTCAAACAGTGGGCGCACTCTTTGACTGAACTAACCAATCCAATCCAATCCACATTCATTAAAAATGGCACTGTGCTTGGCCTCATTATGTGTTCAATCCCTGAAATGGAAGTGGAAAGGAAAATCATTTTCCCCCCCAAGTTTTCACAAATAAAAAAAAGTTTCCTGATGCCCCATCCTGCCCCCAGCCCCAAATACCTCATAATGCACTCTATCTAAGGAGTCCAAGGCGGAACAGGCTCCCTGAAGGTTCTATACTACGGACCTTCACTCCACTAATTCCCATTTTCTAAAGTAACTCAACGCCACGTAGGGCTGAGAGAAAGAAAAATACGAATGATCTGACCAAATGAGAAACTGGCCTGAATCCACTGAAGAAGCCCGAGCTGGCCCCTGCTAGAGTCCCAGGGCAGCTGCCTTGGGAGGCTTCACAGCAGGTCCACGGAGGTGGGCTTGAAGACATGCTAGAGTCGGGATCCAGGTGGGGAGGGTCCTGGAGGGGGTGACTAACAGGCTTTTGGGACAAGAGTCCTTGCCACCAGGAGGCCAGCTCTGCCCCTGGCTGTGCTCCAGGAAAAACATCCACTTGATAGTATGGGTCCTGGAATCAAGACACCCACTTCCCAGGGGCCTCCTTCCTTGGGTGAGTCTCTCCTCAGAACCTCCCCATGAGGAAGTGCCAACACCCAGCCTGGGTGCTACAGCTCCTGACTCTCAGGACTCCTTCCCCCAACTCCAACCCCCTCCTCTGGGCTCTTCTCCATTAGAATGGAAACTCCTTGAGGGCAGGCAGGGCCAGTTTTCTTTCTACTTGTATTTGCATGCCAGGAACACAGTAGCTATTTAATAAATGCTTTATCTAATCTAATCTAATCTAACAGGATCCTTACTCTTGGAAAAAGTGAGAATTTAGGCTTTGGATGTTTCACGCAAACAGGTTTGGAATTGAAGTGTTTGGCTTTTATTAAGGACCTGGTTTCCTGACCTTCTCTAAAAAAAAGACAAGTCACCTCGGCAGCTGAATGACAAATGGTGGCACATGTAAGTCTGTTTTCTGACCTTCAGAGTTCCATCCAGGCACATGGGACCAAGGCCCGGGCTCCACCCACTGAGGGGGGCTTGGCCAAGGAACTTGGCTATCTCTCAGGACACAAAGGGTCAAGGTCCCACTGGGTCCGCGGGACAAAGCCATCCCTTAGACTTTCACCTCCTCCTGGGGAAGGCCAGGCAAGCTGGCAGAGGCAAGAAATGGGGGCTCGACAAGGAAACGCCCTAGACACACAGCCGCACACCAGGGCTCACCGGGGACAGCCCTATCCCAACACCAGTTTCTGGGGTATAGTTTGTGCTGCACACAGGGGATTAATGATTAAGCCAGGCCACTGAAGCATAAGCCTGAGACTGCCGGGCCCCAGCTTCTCTGGCTTGTTCCCATTCCTCAGCATGGTCAAAACAGAAGCAGAGAGCCCCCCTCCCCTTACTTGATGTGCTCCTGGTGCCCGGACCCCTTCACCGTCTTGGCTCCCCATCTCTGCTCCTTCTCGCTGACGTCATTCTGCAAAGAAATAAACAAGAAGAGGTGAAATCTCAGCAGCCTTTTCATAACATATATATATAGAGAGAGAGAGAGAGAATATATGTGCATATATATACATATATATAATATATACATACACACACACACAACACACATACACATTTTTTTAAAAATTGGGGACACATAAATTTAAGGAAAAATAAGAAAATGAATAAGCTGGAAAATCCTACCACAAAATCGGGGTCAGTTTCCCAGTCATCGGCACCCTCATCCTCCTTGCTGACAGATATAGAATGTCCCGCTGACGCTTTCCACATCTGAAAGATCACACACCAGCTCGTTAGGGCAATTGGGAAGTGGAGGCCCATGCCTGAAGCAAACCTGACTTTGGACAAAAGCCATTCCCACAGTCACATGAAGGCTGAATTATACACAGTGGGGCCAATTCTACAAAATCTCCATTCCCCCCACTTGGGATTTACGCTGACAACTCCTACTGCTCGTGACAACGATGATGATGACAGCTGACATGAGGGTGTTCCTTCCAGGGGCCTAAAGCTCTCACAACAACTCTGGGATGTAGATGCTACAAGCAGTGACAAATGAAGAAACAGGCTGAGATGAAGCAGCTAGACCAGGGAGGGTCACACGGCTAGTTGGCCAACATCTGAGGGAGGATTAAAACTCAGATCCCCCTAACTCCAAGCCCAAAACCCCACCCACTGTGCTTCCTGGCTGCCTCAAATTGGGACTGCAGCTGAAAACTAGTTCTTTGTCTCCTGGCCTCATACAGATGCTAGGGATGCTAGGAAGAATCTCTGGCTTCATTTCAAGGGAGAATGAACACGGGCGCACTTATGTCATCATTAGTACACACCCTAAATTTCTCAGCGGAACCTAGGCCAGGGTTCAGATGAGTCAGATCCTGGAGTTGTTTCCTAGTGAAGAGGAATCACTGTTCCTGATCCTGGGCTGTCCTGGGACACTCAGGTGAGATCACATCCAATCAGGATCCCCACTCATGGAGCACAAAGGACCCAGAAGTGCTGGCCCTCCGTGGTCTCCATTCAACAGAGAATGGCAGTGAGGCATGGAGGGGGAGGGGCTGGCCCGTGGGGCTCGAAGGCAGGAAAGGTGATTCTCCTGCAGCCCAGCCAGGGTCTTTCCAAGGCTCCACTGTCCCGCACTCTCATCTCTAAGTACAGGAAGTGCTCCAGAAAGCCCAGCAGCACGTTATCCTTTGGGAGGAACATGTCCTAGATAAGATACCTCATTCACTTGTGAGCAGACACTCCTCAAGATTGTACGACTAAAGGCTTTTGTTGCCTATTTACAAAAAAAAGAAAACCCCAGCGTCAGCAGAATGATGTTTAAAGACTCTTCACGAGGCACAGCCTCACCACTAAGTCTCCCCTGAAAAACCACAATTTATGAGGCAGAATAAGAAAGGAACTTAACCTTCTTTCTGCAAAACCACTGAAAAAAGCTGACAGAATGGAAAGCAATTTACAATTGGTCTGATTTAAGTTCACTCGTTCGGGTGTCTGCCGCTGGGTCCTTTACTTCCGCCCCCAAGGCCCCTGGCACGCCAGCCGAGTTCTCAGGCCTGACACATGCTCCCAAAGGACCTACTATGTGGCCCGTCCAGCCTGCCCACCCTATCCATGCACAGGTCCAAGTCCAAGCAGGGCACCAAAGGGAAATCAAGGACCAGACTTTCACACTTAAGAACAGCAGCTGATGCCAGGCTGGTCAGGGGAGGCAATCAGGAATTGGCCCAAAGCCACAGCAAGGGGATTTTCAACCACTCCCTCATGGCAGCCAGCTTCCCAACAAGATTTCAAAGAGAGCTTCCAGCTGGGGGGTCCCAAGTCTTTGGGATTTTCCTATGAATTCCCAACACAGTGTTTGGTGCATATCACGGAGACTCAAATGGAGCATAGATCAATGCAGACAGCCACCCATTCCTGACTGCCCACCCTGTCAAAAGTTCACCCTTGGGCTCCACCCAAAGGGCTCTCAGCCCTTCCTTGCTCTCCAAACACTGGCACTAAATAAGTGCTTAATAAGTATTTGTTGACTGGACACAGAAATCACTTCATCCAATATGGAACTGAAGGGAGCTGGGGTCCACATCACCTCTCAAAAACAAAATAAAACAAAACACCAAAAGAGAAAGAGCTATACACAAGAATATAAAACTAACCACAATTTTTAAAATGAGAAAAGCAAAGACAACCAAAAATACAACTAAAGTTCTACCCTATTTCGTTCAATTAATACCTACAGAGTGCCTACTATGTGCCAGGCATTATGCTAAGCCCAGCAGATACGAAGACACAAACTAGTCAGTCGGTGCCTTCCAGGGTTTATATTCAAGAAGAACAAAACAATATAAAATAATTTCAACAGCGAGGGAGTCATAATAACTGGGAGAATGGAAGAGGCACCCCCTCCTACCTGGCCCCCGCCCTGTCTCCCATTGTGCTTTGAAGGAATCTGGGCAGGGATGAAGAGAGAAGGAGAGGTGGGGGTGGCAGCATATATGGAAACTTGGAGTCACAAAAACCTGGGTTCAAATCCTGCCTCAGATTTACTAACTGGTTTAAGACACTTAAATTCTCTGAGCCTCAGTTTCCTCCTCTACAAAGTAAGGGGTTTGGATTCAATGACCTTAAAGGTCCCTTCCTACTCTAAAGTTATGATACTACCAATTCTGGGCACGGGAGTGAGCGGCAGGAGTAGAAAGTCTCATTTGCGAGCTGGCAAAGAAATTTGGCCGGGCTGGAGAGGGTGTGAAGGGTAATAACATCCTGGCTCTGCCTCCTTCTACCTAAAGGACCATAGTCCATTGCCTTCCCCTCTCTGGCCCTCAGCTTCCTTACCTCTAAGGTCCCTACAAACTCAAAATCTCTGATGCAAAGATTGTTAAAGGAGTAGGGTGACATGAGAGAGCTGGCTTGGTAATAAACAGGTCTACCATGTTTTCAGAATAAAGCTACCAAAAATACTACGGAGCAACTGAGTCAGGGAAGATATCAGAAACTACAGAGATGGAAAAAGCAGGCACACAAGAGATTCCTAGTGATGTCTTTAGATGGATAAGGGCCACATTCAAAGACAAGACAAAACAAGACAAAAACTAAAAGAGTAGAAAAATCAGACAAGAAAGGAGGAGAGAGAGGGCAGCTAAGTGGCGCAGTGAATAGAGCACGGACCCTGGAGTCAGGGGGACCTGAGTTCAAATGCAGCCTCAGACACATAACACTTACTAGCTGTGTGACCCTGGTCAAGTCACTTAACCCCATTATTACCTAGCCAAAAAAAAAAAAGAAAGAAAAAGAAAGAAAGGAGAGGAGAAGGGAAGAGGGGAGAAGATGGAATGGGGAGGAGAGGAGAGGATGGGAGGGGAAGGGGAGGAGGAGAGGAGAAGGGAGGAGGGAAGGGAAAGAGAAAGATTCATGAAGAAATAGTCAACTGGAAAACACCACTTAAAATTTTCAAAAAATCAATAGATGCCATGAAGAGCAGAATTTCTACTGTGGAAAATTAAATTGCTCCAAATTCGAAGCAGCTGGAAACATCGTTTCAAAAAAGAATCACCGATTTATCCAAACTATTGGCAAACTCAGAGACCCAAACAACCAAGTGAGGTGCTACTATGACTGTTTATTCATGTTTACTGACATCTCAGAGAATTCAAAAACTCCAAAGAACAGAGACACCACATCCAGAAAATTATTTACAAAAATAATAATAATAATAATAATAAACCCATCCATATCATCAGCAAAAACAACCAGCAAGACACAGGGAGAAACCACTGAGTCCTGTTTTTCCCAAACTGGGCTGAGCCCAGAAAACCACGGGGTTTCCAAGTAAGGATTGGCCCAATCCTTGCTGGACTCGAGGGACCTGGAATAACGCTAGGATCCAACTAGGTCAGAGAAATCAAGGCCCCAAATAAATGAAAACAAAGCACTTCTTATGCTGAAAAATTACTGTGTAGCAACTGTATTTTCAAAGGATGATATTGCCAGGGCTCCAGTGTTCTCCTGGCAGCTTGGTGCAGCGATCAGAGTGAAGAAATTGGAAGCAGGAAGACTTGGGTTCATATCCTGACACTCGCTGGTTGTGGGCCCATGGACAAGTAGCTTCACTTTCCTGGGTCTCAGTTTCCTCATCTGTAAAGTGTAGGGTTGGACTGATGCCCTGCAGGTGAATGCCGGGTCTAGCCCATCATTTCAAGAGGCCGGCCAGGGTGTCCATGCTCACTTCCCTCCCCTCTCTAGAGGCTTCCCCACCCCCTTTTCAGCCCCCTTCTCTCCTGCTCCCCTACTAGAATGGAATACCAGCTTTCTGAACATAGGGACACTCTTTTTTACTCGTATCTATACCCCCAGAGCTATGCACCTCTCTTGCTGCATCTATGACCTTAGGACAAATTTCTGAAGAAGCAATTTGGTGCAGTAGATAGTGCTGGAGGAGTCAGGAAGACCTGAGTTCAAATCCCACCTCAAACACTTCCCAATTGTATGACCTTAGGCAAGGCCTTTCACCTGAGGATTGTTCAATCCTTCCAGGATTGTTGTGAAGACCAAATGAGAGAATGCATATAAAGTGTTCTGCAAACCTTGACGAGTTGTATAAATTCGAGGTAATACTATGACCTTCTCCAAAGAAAGGGAACGGGGAAGGCCAAAAGCTCCAGTGACCGACAAACCTTTGTTCCTAGCAGGGGATGATGGACTTCACACAGGAGTCTGCCCCAAACACTTATGTAACCCGCCAGGAAATGTGTAGGCATCTGGAAACGAAGCCGCTTGCAAGAAAGCCAAGAGGGAGCACTCAGGACACAGCCGCCCTGCACAGGCACCAACAACTAATGCTCTGACAGGTCCTTTGTAAGCTATCACTGAACCATGCTGGTGAGCTGGCATCCTCCCATCTTTGTAACCAGGTCACTAAGTCCAAACAGAGACCAGCAAGTCCCTCCACTGGGCAGAACCATGGAAGCTTACCTGATGCTCAGAGCCCAGATAAATGGAAATAAAGCGTTGAGCAGCAGCCTAGGAACGCCCTCCCCTCCTCCTGCCCCCCATCTAAAACACACACACACACACACACACACACACACACACACACACACACACAC